GAAGAAAATGAGGATTCTGAATCTATTCTTCTGCTGATGGAGATGAAAGAGTGAGGAGTGAGTCTTTTGTCTGGTCAAATGACAGGTGCATAAAACATTCTAAAAATTAATTAGCTTTACAGGATAAGAAGGTCAGAGCTGCTTTTGTGAAATGCCATCACGAGACTCTACATCATCTGGATAAAGGTCCTTTGAGTCACAGGGAGTGTAGTGAATGGCTTTCCAGTCTTCGTTTTTGCAAAATATGTAGCCGATGCATTTGTGTACAAAGAGCATGAAACTCACCTATTGCACTGGAGGGAATGCGACTAAGTTGCATGGAATACCAGGAGTGTTTACCTTGAATAACTGAAGGGCTACTTCACCTCTGTGTGGCTCAGAGTTCCCATCTGCATAGTGGAGATAAGAGGGGTTATCTCTGACCCTCTGGGACTAGGGCAGGAGTGGGTGAGAGAGAGCTAGAAAGCACTGAGGCCTTCTCCAAAGAAAGGCAGTGTTCAAGTAACAAAGTACTAAACAAAGTACTTCAATCAAAAAAGCACAAAATTCAAGTAACAGAGTTGCAGGGGCTATGCTGTGGCTTTTCAGCAGAGGCCTTTTGCATCTACATGGAGAGCTGGTGGGTCAATGAGCTGAATGGCAGAGGATGCAGGGCGAGCTCCGTGCAGAGCCCCCCGAGTCGTCCACACCACTGAGAACAAAAGCGCTCCTGGCAAGGCAAAAATGAACCTCAGGAAAAGCTTAGAGAAGTGACCCAACTGTTGAGAGCAATTTCAAATGCATATCCCACGTGTTTTCTCTGCATAAGATCTTCAAGTTGGTTATCAGCCTCCATGTCAACAGATTAAAGGTTTTCTTCACATTACAAATAGAAACAGAAAATTGAAGAAAGGCTATTTAAATTGTTGTCCTACACTTTAGCATAATAAAAAAACAATTTTGAGACTGGTACTGAGGGAAAAGACATACAGTCAACCGCCCAATAGAGTATGAAGAGGAAAATCAGAAAGTTGTTTGCAAGGAAGAAACTTTCTTTTTGAAGTTTCTCTTCTTGCAAATTGGTGAGTGCATGCTTGGGTGTTAGTAACCCCAGAGAACTGGAAGGTTTGGGGATATTGTCACTGGGACCTTGAGGGTCCTCAAGAACAGGAGGATAAAAAACGGGTTAACAGTCTTGATATACAGTCTTTGCTAAACAGCTCACAATCGAAAACTGGGAAAACTTTGCACTAAAATCACAATGTTTATTTTGCCACAAGAACCCACTTCATCAGTTATCCAGTAGACAGGAAAACACCCCTAATCCTAGTTCCCATTATAAAACTTCTACTTCCCATTTGTATGGACTGTTGCCAATCTCTGAACCTATCTATTTGTTTTCACTGGACAGATAAAACACTTGGAGGAGCTCAGTCAGGACCCTTACACCACCAGGACGAAGCGAGTCTAGACAAAGTTTCTGGGAGACATCACCGTTTCTTGCTGCCACTGTTCCCACTGCCAGGTTTGCTGAAGCTCCTGCTCATCTGAGGGAAGTGCAAGGTGGGGGTTCTTTCTGTGGGTCCATATAATCCCAAATTCCGGGCGGTGGCTGATTTCCGCAGTGGCTTGACACTGGGGAAAGGGCTGAAGATGGGGGTTTTCGAGGTGCTTCCTTGGAGAGGTTTGCTGGTGGTTTTGTTTTCTCCAGGTGCATCAGGCAGATCTGGGAAGTGCCTTGGGCAGGGCGGGGGAACCGTGGGCACAGTTTCAGCAGCAGCCTCCCTTTGGTTCAGTTCCAAGGCTTCTAACTTCACCTGCACAGCAGACACATCCACATCGGCCTCTCCAAACACTGGCTCTGGAGACTGGCCTTCGATTGTTCTCCCAGGACCGCCTTCTCCTTGAGCGGGGGCTGCACAACCTGAGGCAAACTCCTCTGCAGCCCCCAGGGTGCTGGCCTTGCAGCCCTGGCTCTGCTCTTCTATCAGCCCTATGGTGTCCCCACAGCCCGGGTGACTCTTGGTCCGTGGCATGGTCTTTTTGTGGACTCGGATATGAGTTCGCCACGGAGAGTTGAGCTTCGACTTAAGGTCTTCAAAGGGGACGGGAGATATTTTGCCTCCTGAGTGACCAGGAATGTGAATGACAGCATTCTTGGCAGCTCTGTTTGTCATTTTCATCTTCTTTCCTAGAAGAAGATGGTTTATAACCGGAGAATTGTTTACCTGAGATGGGAGGATGCTGGTCACTGGCCCTTTGTCTGAAAGAAATGTTGAAAGGTTGTGTGAGACACGCTATAGAGAAACATGTACCACAGAACAGAAATCACATGGAAGGTCTCCACCTATCCCTTCCCATGCGCTTCCCAGGTATTGGCAGAGTCATGTGACTGAAGGCAGCAGAAACTGAATTCGCCCCTAGACGCTGGGGTACTGATCCTGTCCTCTTCAAAAAAGAAGAGACTACAGGCTGAGGACGCAAGGAACAAGGACTCTGCACCCTCATCACTAATTTCAGCCCAGATTCCTAAACGTTTTCTACAGTGTGCCTTGTCTCCAAGTAGCAACCTCAAGGGTCTTGTATCTGGGGGTGGGGGAGAGTTAAAAAAAATTTAATTACTGTGGCAAACACTATGACCATATGGGCTATGAGCCGTCAGCTCCTGAGAGGTAGGAACACCCTGCATATGATGAAGTGAGAGAGAGCAGAACGACAGGAAGTGATAAGACGGTAGTGAAAATGCAGTGAACTCACAGCTCTCCAGGGTGTGCCCGCTGGTATAAAAACCATTCCTGTGTCCTCAATGGACTCTGTTCCCAATAGCAAACTGGAAAGCCCCAAAGCTTTGTTCTCCTAGGGGATACCGTATCATCATCCCCACCCGCACTCCCGCCATAGCTAGGGCCAGGACCCATTTCCAGTGTAGCACACATGGCCCCAGAGATGACTGCGACAGCCAGAAGTAGGAGGGAGAAGGCCCCTCTGCCTTTGTGCGAACATGCCTCCCCCTTGGCACCTGTGCCATCTGGCTAAGCTTCCTTCCATGCTTCTCTGCTCTTGGAATCTATCTCTGGTCATGCCCTAGCCTTTCCAGAAAATTCGGACAACAGTCTCCTTTTACTCCATGTCCAACCACTTCCCTTAGTTATTTTACTATCTCCATAACTGGTTAGTACATTACCTGGTCTCCTAGTCCCTCAGTCTCTCCAGCTGTTTACTAAAACGTATGACCCCGATGTGACTTACGTGGAAAATGTTTACTTCAAATACTCCTCTTTGACTCATCTAGTTCTCGGGCCTTCAAGCCAGCCATCCTAGTAATGGACCACAGGGATTCCCAGTTTCTTGATTCTGGTATCTTTTCTATCTTTGGCTCACTTGCACCCCTACCCTGCTAAATGCATGGCTGATAACGTGGACCACTGCCTCACCAACAACCACGTATTCCAGACTCCCTTCACCACACATTTCTGGCAAAACCCTAACCTTGGATCCATAATCAACATTGACTTTTCTGAAACCAAGCCTTCTAATGCATGACATCCTATTTTGCTAGGCCCTCAATGCCACCAAACAATCTTTCCTTAAACTCCCACATAATCCTCCAACTTATTCCCATTAAATAACCTTTCCCTCAATTTTTTCATGAAAACAGAAGCTATCAGATCTAAATGGCTGTGACTTCCTGTCTTCCCTAACCTAGGAACCTGGTACCTCAACCACCATCCTCACCACCTTCCATGAAGTCTCCGAGCTGAGCTCTTTTGCCTCTAGTTCAAGCTCAGTCTCTCCACCTGTGCTGTTAATCCTTCTATATGCCATGTCCTTTAAAACCTTGCTTCTCAGAGTGTGGCCCTGTTCTGCAGCATGGCAGCACCTAGGTGCTTGTTAGAAATGCGGAATCTAAGCCGCACCCCAGGCCTACTGAAAGGAATTCTGCATTTTTTGTAGAATCCCCAGTGATTCATATACATACTAAAGTTTGAGAAGCAATTCTCTAGAACTTTGTCTTAGAGCAACAGCCTTTCACTTAAAGAGAACCATGTAAACCATGATCTAGAGAAGGGGTCAGCAAACTTTTCCTATAAAGAACCAGACAGAATATATGTTCACCATTGTAGTATAAAATTGGTCTTAGGTAATATGTAAACAAATGGGTGTACCTGTGTTTCAATAAAGCATTACTTACAGAAACAAGTAATGGGCTGGGCCAGCCAGAGGCGTGGTGGTTAAGGTGGCTGGATCCTACATGGCTGACTTCGTGGTTCAAGTCCTGGATCAGGTGGTTTGAAAAACACGCCAAATGCATGTGCATGTGTAACACAAAATCATAAGAAGAAAATGGAGGAAAAGAGATTGTGGTGTGACCATCCTCTTGGGTAGAAGCCCTCCTTCCCTCCCTCCCTCCCTCCCTCTGGTGAATGCACATGTCCTATAGGGAAAAAATGAATGAAAGAAAGAAAGAAGAAAGGAAGGAAGGGGAAAGCAAAGCAAAGCAAAGGAAAGGAAAGGAAAGGAAAGGAAAGGAAAGGGATAAGAAATAGACAATGGGCAGAATTTGAACTATAGACAAGTTTGTTTAACCCTTGACTAGTTTAGAAGCCACTGAACTGATTTAACACACAATGGCAGTTTTTCACCATCCCACCTAAAGATTTGGACAGTGTAGCTCAAGGAGGACCAGACGAAGAATCAGAACACCTAGGTCCTAATCCTAGTCTGATTACTCCTTATAAAATCCTGGATAATTGTCAAGTCACCTGGATCACCATTTAAAAGGAGATAAGATGAATTGTCCTTGTCTCCTCTAAAAACTTGCTTTAAGGAGAAAATATATATGCTCAATGTCTTGTTAATTCAAGTGCTGTCACTGTTAAGTTTGTCTAAGATTGTTTTCTTAAGGATTCAGAATAATGTAAGAATTTTCAAAAACTTGCCAATTCCTCCCTAATGATGGAAGATGAATTCAATTTTTAATGCAAGTTCAGTCACATGTTCACAAGCCACTTAAAAACATGTCAAATTTATATCTCAGTTCATTCTGGACAGGTATAATTTTCATTAAGATAATCATTAAAAAAAAAAAGAAAGAAATAAAAAGAACAGCCAACACCCAAATCAGCATTTATTAAACCATAAAGCAGACTGTTCACTTGGATTTTTGGAAATGAGAGAAAAAAGAAGCCTGACAGTCCTTGGAAAAGAGCATTTCTAATTGCATCATAACCGGGCTCTTCTTAGTGCACTCCCGAGATACTGCTAAGCCATCATCAGCAAGGCATAGACTTTTTAATGGTTTTTTTTTTTCCATTTTCTCTCCCAATATCGGTTTTATTGCTACCTAAATGACTAGTGTACATCTTAATTTACTAGTGCACAAATAACTAAATTCTTTTTTCAAATACATGGCTGTTTGCACCTATAGCTCCAAAATTTCTCAAGTCCAAGGACTGCTTGGCTTTGCAGCATTCTAATCATTTTTAAACCCATCTCCACAGCACGTTTAGTAAAGACACGTTTGATACCATCAGCTGCCTGGTCCTGGAGACCTAAAAAGAACCTTTTATGCTTTTCTTCTTTAGAGCCTAATAATACAAAATGGAAAGTAAAACGTTAAATATCCTATTAGCTCATGCCAGCTGTGTTTCTTGATGCTGAGCTACAGTTAGTAATTCTGAACACCATCCTTGGCTCATTTGTTCTTCATTTTACTAGCTGAGACAAGAGCTGAAATGTATTCAACAAAAAGTCACATTACCTGCCCTAATGTACACCTGGTGGACCTGCTGCTGTTGCTTCTTTTTAATTCGGGAGTATTGCTGCTTCAGGGCGTTGATATCTGTGGTCATACGCTCCATCATCATACTATTAAAAGCTGCATGGTATTCGCTTCGGCAGGAATTGATTGCTCCTGGACTCAGCTCTGCGATATTGTTAGATCTCAGACTCTGCTCCTCATCTGGCTCTGTGCTCACAGAAAGAGATACAAGGAGACAGTGGGGGGGGGAGACAGTGTTACATGGAAATTGATGACCCAGTTCATGTCTTAAACTTTTAGGAAATTCCGGGGCCAGTAGGTAGCATGGTAGTTAAGGTGCTGGACTCCTAGATGGTCAACCATGGTTTAAGTCCAGACCCGAATTCTCTCTCTCTCTCTCTCTCTCTCTCTCTCTCTCCCCTTCTCTCTCTTTCTCTGTCTCTCTGGTGAGTACAATTAAAAAATAATCATAAGCAAAAATAAATAAATAAATAAATCTTTTTTAAAAAAATTTAGAAAATTCTAAAGCACAAAAATAAAGTACACTGGGATTTAACTAATGCTTGTTTTGATTTGCTCCTGAAAACATTTCGGCATTTTCTTATTAACCTAACCGTACATTTGAAATGAAATCTGTGGGGTTCATTATTTAATTTTGTTACCATTTCTCTTGTTATATAGACAGAAGATCAACAGCTTCCAGATAAAAACCCCTGCCATTTTCTAACATTCTCTTACAGAAATTTAACTCGAGATGTCTAAAATTATTGTACTGATTTATATACAACTACATGACAGTTTAGAAAGGACTGACAGTTCATAGAGTTAGACAGTTATTAAAAGTTTGTTTCTTGGGAACCAGTAGTTAGCGTAATGACTATGTCACTGGACTCCCACGAAGTCGACCGCGGTTTGCGTCCAAGACCCGGTGGCTTAAAACTCACGCCGGGCGCGTGTGCATGCGTGCCCAAGATCCCAAGAGGAGAATGGAGGAGAAGGGATTGCGGCGTGACCATCCCCCCTGGGGAGTGATTTCTCGCTGTCTCTATGTCTCTCTGTCTGTCTGGCAAGCGCACGTGCGCTACAGTGAAAATCTCTCCCCCCCCCAAAAAAAAGTTTGTTTCTTAAGTTAAAAATATTGGATCACTGGAAAAGTCATGATGCATTTTTGTGTAGAAAGACATAGAAAACACATCATGACTTTTCCGATGACCTAACAGTAATATATTTTATAAAATTATCAAGACTTGGGACCAGTAGGTGGCATAATGGCTAAGGCACTGGATTCCCACATGGCTGACCATGGTTAAGTCCCAGACCTCATGGCTTGCTTTCTCACCCCCACCCCTGTCTCTCTCTGGTCAAATTTTAAAAAGAAGTAATAATAATAAATAAAGTTAAATAAATCTTTTTAAAAAACTATCAAGCCTTTGAAAAGTCTATAACTAGATGTAAACATTGTTTCTTTAACAAAAATTTCCAGATTTTTCATTATGTTAGGTCTGATGTGGTTTTTGCTCGTGACACCTACAGTGAGCAGATTTGTCTCTTGAGTAAAATGGAGATTATATACAAGAGAAAGAAACAAGTACTGTGGTAACAGTACTCACACATCGCAACGGCCAAAGGGGGAGGGAAGGGGGCTTCTCTAGCATAAATCATGCATGGACCAGGGAACCAGCTAAAGAAAGATTGAAAGATTTTAACTATCCTAACATCTTCTGAGTCTGTTGAAATGTATTATTCAGATAAAAGCTGAACATCTCATAAATTTACTTCATTTTTTTAACTGAAATCACTTCTCTAAAGAGAAGAAAATTAAAAAGGGAAGCTGTTACTTAATCTGAATAAAATGAACAAGAAAAGACTAATGATGAAATTTAGGCAGATGTGATCATGTCATCCTAGAGCACGTAATCGCACAGAAAGAAAAACGGGAAAAATGGAACATAGATGCAGACTACATAACTAGAAATCAAAAGCTGAAATTCAGGCAACAAGAAAGGGAGTGTAGGGCATGACAAATCTAGAGAACTCTTGTTGGGCTCAGATTTCTAGGAATCTCCCATAAAGATGAAAGAAGAGCATGTACACAAAGTGTAGACCCAGCCATTAAGCAGGTTAAAACTTGAAGCAAGCTGAGGCTTGGGGGAAATACTCAAAACTACCACGACAACAACAATAAAACAACAATAGCCACCACTCCTGTTCTTACCAACTTCTAAACAAGAAGCACGAAAATGAGAAGATAGCCCCGTGAGTTCAAGAAGGTAGTATTAAGTCCGCAGATGGCAGAAAAAATGTGGCTGTCTGCCATCTATTTTGTCTCTGCCCTCTTTCAGCATGTTTCTGTCCTCTTCGAACAAGGAGAGTCGTCCTCAAACTAGAAGATGGAGAATAAATCTCCTATAAGACGAGCTTTCAGTCAAGATGAAAAAGGACCAAGTAGTACCACAAGCTGCTTCAAGAGTTCACTACATTGATAATGCACAGGCTATCGGAGGTAGGAAGTCTACTTAAAACAAAAGGGCCAGCAGGTGGTCTGGTGGTTAAGGCACTGGACTCCCACGTGACCAAATGTGGTTTGAGTCCTGGACCTCCCGGCTTGCTTTCTTACTTTCCCCTTTCTCTTCTGTTTCTGTCTGGTCCAATTAAAAATTAATAACAATAGGGGGCCGGCAGGTGGCGTAGTAGTTAAGGGCGCTAGACTCCCACATGATTAACCACAGTTTGAGTTCTGAACCTCTTTAGTCAAATTAAAATAAATTTAAAAACGTAATAATAAATGGAATTAAATAAATCTTTTTTAAAAAATAAATAAAACATAGTATTTAAGTCATAGCATCACATTTTACAAGGGACATTATCGACTACAGGACAGCTAGAAGTGTGTTAATAGAATATTAAAGTGTGTGAAAGACGTATTTTACAAGAAATTCTCTAGTTATGAAATTGGGCCTTAGAGAAAGCTTTGGGGGACACGATAGCTGTCCTCCAAGATTTGAACAGATGCCACACAGAAGAGGGGGCAGATTTGAACTGTTTGGTTCCAAAGAGACAAACTATTAGTACAACTGGTAGGAGGAGGTTATCTTTTTACAGCTAGAAACTGTGAGTTAAGGGAAAATCCGGCAAAGTGCCATATAAAATAATGAGTTTCTTGTCACTCAAGACCATAATGTTTTGGACTTAGAGGGTAATCATGTAGTTGAAGAGAAGTCAGTCTGGAGTGAATTCAAACTCAGAAGGTATTCCGGATTTTCAGTACACCCGACTTTGAGTTAAGGAAATGAGCACACACAGTTGAATCAAATGAATAGGAAGCCAAAGTCACCATAAAGAAATATCAATGTGCATTACTTGTGTAACGCATAATAGAGAGGGATCCTACTAAACGCTCAAGTATCAGAGAATGTATTTTCAACACAGATTTTTAGCAGTGGTAACCAGCTCAGGGAATTACTGAGGCATTTGCAGGACACAATCATTGTACCACTGTCATAGTAAACCAATACAGCATGACCATCCAAACCAAGAGCCACCTCTTTACCTTTAATTTGCTTTTGGTACCTCTGCAGTTCAGGTGCCAGGAGCCCACTAAAAAGCCCAAGACACCCCACTGCATTGGCAATAGCATCTTCATCATCTGGGTCATTCTCTTCATCACTGTCTCTGACCTTACCATGTCGTCTGAGGAAACAAAGAAGGAAAAGACAGAAAGAAAATAATGTTGCTTTAATAAAATAAATAAATAAATAAATAATAAATAAATAAATAATAAAATAAAAGGAATAGAGTCATATGGCTTAAATGCATATATTTATGGCTTAGGTATAATTACATAATTATAAAAGGTCTCCCTCCCATCCCTGACAATTTTTTTTTTTCTTTTTTGGAGAGGTTTTTGCTATAGAGCGTGTGTGCTTGCCAGAAAGACAGAGAGAGACAGGGAGACAGAAAGTGAGAAATCACCCCCCAGGGGGGATGGCCATGCCGCAATCCCTTCTTCTCCATTCTCCTCTCGGGATCCTGGGCATGCACGCACATGCGCCCGGCATGAGTTTAAGCCACCAGGTCCGGGACTTGAACTGCAGTCGACTACATGGGAGTTCAGCGACATAGCCATTACACCAACTGCTGGTCCCATCTTTGGCAAATTTCTATGCAGCTCTTGCCCCATCTAATTCCCATAAGTGGCCATTGCCACTAGTTTCTTATTCAGCTTCTACATGTACTTTTATGTTCTACTTTTTTTGTATAAGTATTAGCATACTACATACACTCTTCTGCATCTTGCTTTTTCTTCATGTAAGGAATTTTTTCACATTTATCTATTGAGCTTCCTTATCCTATTTTATGATCTTACTATACGAACATAGCCTATGTTGTGGAAGCACACTGCTAAGGCTGCATCATTGAGTGATTTCCAATACATTATTTTAAAAAATTGCAATGAATAACCTTATGCATACTGTGTTTTGCATGTGCATAAATATATCTGTAGGATTATTCCTAAAGATAGAATTGCTGAGTCAAAGGATTATGCATTAGTAATTTCGTCAAACACTGAGAAATTGTCTGCATCAAATTCTGTAGTCATTAGCCATTCGTCTGCAGTGTATAATGTTGTCTATTCTCCTATGCCTTTTTGCAGAGAGTGTTTTGCTGGTCTGGTAGATATAAGAAAATAGGGTCTCACTTTCTAGTTTTAAGCTGCTTTTCTCTCAGTACTAGTAATGTTGCCTTCTATATAAACTGCCTATTTTTATCCTTTCATCATTTTTTAAATTCAGTGGTCATTTTTTTTTTATTTCTAGGAATTTTATATATTAATGATGTCAGTTCCTGTTTTGTGTAGTAAGTTAAAATACTTTTCTGCAAATATTTTTGAGTCTGCTTATGAAAATTTGTTTTGTTCTGTTTCAGTTTTAATAGTGCAGAAAATTATCTTTTAAATACTTAGATTTTTTTCTTTTCTTTTGAGTCAGTTATTAAGGCCTTCCTTCTTAATTTCAAAGAACTTAAATTCTCCCACATTTTCATCTGCTAATTTTATGATTTTCTTTTTTCCATTTAATATTTTCATCCATATGGAACTTATCCTGAAATATGGTATGAGGTATGATTTCATCTTTCTTTCCAGATTACCTCTCTATGGTCCATCATTTACTATGTATTATACATTTTTCTTTTTTTAATTTATTTATTATCATAATCTTGTTTATATTACATTGAATCACATATAACTTACAGTGTATTACATTTCTTTTGCCAGAAAGAATACCATGACTATCAGTCAATACAAAGACATTAAAGTCCCCATCTTCATCATCTAATAGCTTTCATTTTTTTCCTGATTATTATTATTATTCCAATTATTTTTTAACAGTCAATCACTATTTATCATTTTGCTTGTAAAAAGACTTTACCCAACATGAAATACTTCTCAGACCAATCCAGTTGAGAAAACTAGACATCTTTCACCATTGAATTGATATACCAATTTTTCATATACCAAATTCCTTTACATATATTTGTCAATTTCTGAAATTACAATATTTTAAAGTATTTTAAAGCCTGTTTGTATACCAGTTCCATCCTATTTTAATTATTAATATTTTTAAAGAATTACTTATTTTATTTTTATTTATTTTTTTTTTACATGAGCTTTGCCAGGAAAGGAGAGAGAGAGAGAAAGCCGCTAGGTCTGGCACTCAAACCGCAGTCGACCATGTGGGAATTCCGGCTCCTTAAACACCACGCCACCTGCTGGCACCAACATGTTTAATACTTGATATTTTTAAATAAGTTAATACTTGATATTTTTAAATAAGTTGTGGAGTTCTAAATATTATTTCAGTTTATGTTTTGTTCTTTCTCCCCCTCACTAAGCAAAGAATTTTATTAACCTTCGTTCCAAACTTTATTCCCAGGCTTCTTTGACTTAATTAGCTGCAAACACTGAACTGCATATAAGCAAAAACTGAAAAGAGCTGCAAGGCACTTAGGCTTAAAAATATTAGAGATCTAGATTTAATCAAATCCATAAACAAAACAATTTTAAAAAGCAGTCATAACATAAAATAGCCGCTCCCAGTAACTTCGTCAAGTTTTATTCCTTTCAGAAGTTGACTCAATTCCATTTGCCTCCTTCTTGGAAGGCTCATCAAAATTCTCCATGAGATCTGGAGCTTCATCACCATCCTCTCCAGTAGCAAGCGGTGCTTTTCCATCCACAGATTGTTGAGGCAGAGCTTCAGCCAGTCTCCTTAGACTAGTCAGACTGCCCCAGGCTGGTTTCAGATGCTGGGTAGCGTTTCTGTCAGCTGCTTTGTCTCAGTATGGCCTGTAATGGTGAAAGTATTTGCTGCCAGAGAGGCCTGTACTTTAGGGTTGTTGAAGTGGGACACTGCTTCCTGGTTTGGAAACATTCACCTCTTCAATATCAGAGATATTCTTTACCCCTAACTTCTTTTTTCCTCAAAAAACTTTATTTATTTATTTATCTATTCGATTTATTTTCATTTGACCAGAGAGGGTCAGAGCAAGAGAGCAAGGGAGTGAGAAGGAGAGAGAGAGTGAGAAAGCAAGCTGCCAGGTCTGGGACTCGTACTATAGTCGGCCATGTGAGAGTCCACCGCCTTGAACCATACCACCTGCTGACCCCTACCCCTAACTTCTGTAAGGAGAATTGAAGTTTGTTATCATCTGCCATTGCTGTCCTATGAACTACATTCTTTCTGTGAGAGGTTCCTTTCCCATCAATGTGCACTTGTGCCCACAGTTGGCAAGTTATTCCGGGTTCGTGATAGTTTCTTTCATCTTGTCGGAGTGGAAAAGGAGCCACACAGGGGACTAGGGCTGGTGCTCAGAAGGTCTCTGACAGACTGAGATTAGGTGCACACAGGCAGGGATACAAGATGGCAGCCAGAGGGAGGCCGGAAGTGACACCTCAGTTCACGTTCTAAACGTGTTTGGAAAGCACACTTCCAAAAACATCCCTTGAGTTTAAATAAAAACTTTTGGGAAACACATACTTAGATTTCAAGTACCAAATTACTTTCAACATATTTGTAGGGCTAAATACATATTAATTTACAATAATATAAGGCATTAAGTTTTCTGTCATGAATACCACAGGACAAAAAAGAGAAAAACAAAACCAAACCAAGAAAAGCCTTACCCAGAAACGGAGGTGGGTTTAACTGTGGCTGGAAATGGTGTGATGTTGTAGGTATATTTTTCTCTCAGTTCAGCCAATTGTGGGAAAGGGAATGGAGCCATAGAATAAACAGTCTGAAAAACAAAAGCAGAAATGTCCTCTCTGAAGCAGTAACCTTAAGCAACTCTTATCAGTTCTAGAAAGACATTGAAGTTTGATGAAGTTGCATGTAAAGAGGCACATACAGCTCCTTAAGCAGCAAATGGGAGAGATTCCACTTCCATATTTGCTTTAGAGAAAGACAAAAGAACACTGATAAACTCAACAGTGACTTCTCAAACTAACAGGTACAAGTGGGCATTCCAGTTGGTGAACACGTGAGCAAACATGGGCAGTCTCCTTCCATCCTCTGCTAGATGAGTTAGCTCAGAAATCCACACCTCCCTATCACTCTATAAAGGAAGAACCCATAAATGTTCTTTATGTGTAGTGCCTACTTTTTAAAGCTTTAATTATTTTTATAGACATATAATCTAATCGATGACTTTGTGATCAACTGCAAGTTTTCTCCAAAGATAGCACCTTTTCAAATGCTTGAGATTGAGCTCTCATGAAAACTGTTAGCTGTTATTTCTTTTAAAAAAAAAAAAAAAAAAGGAAGGAAAGAAGAAAGAAAGAAAAGAAAAGAAAAAGGAAAAAAAAAACAAGAAAAATAATGACAGGATATAAAGTATAGGTTGTTAAAATCTACAAATAAAAGTGACAAAAAGTACTTGCACTAACACCAAAATTTCAAAATTATGTATCATTTTACCAGCAAGAGATAAGTAATCTTGTTTGCTCTCTCATCTTTTTAAATTAAGTGCCCAAAACGTATTTCTTCAGTCCATCACAGTCTTATGCACCAGAAAATGTGCATTAATTATATTTACATTACTTCTAGAAAGCCAATCAAATATCCTAATCAAACTTTTCTGAAAAAATATTTTAAAGTGGTATTTTTTTATCTCAGCAAAACTTTTCTTCGTCTTCAGGTGATGTTTAACATTTGTGTGGATAGGAAAAGGAGGCTCTGAAAGGAGTTTAATTGTGCTGTATCACCACTGTAGCAGTCCAATCTGATGTTGAGTGACAGCCAAACATCTGACTGTCCCCAAACTTCATGGTATCCATTCTTGAACTCTCATAAAAACTGTTGGCTGTTATTTCTTTTAAAAAAAAAAAAAAAAAAAGGAAGGAAAGAAGAAAGAAAGAAAAGAAAAGAAAAAGGAAAAAAAAAACAAGAAAAATAATGACAGGATATAAAGTATAGGTTGTTAAAATCTACAAATAAAAGTGACAAAAAGTACTTGCACTAACACCAAAATTTCAAAATTATGTATCATTTTACCAGCAAGAGATAAGTAATCTTGTTTGCTCTCTCATCTTTTTAAATTAAGTGCCCAAAACGTATTTCTTCAGTCCATCACAGTCTTATGCACCAGAAAATGTGCATTAATTATATTTACATTACTTCTAGAAAGCCAATCAAATATCCTAATCAAACTTTTCTGAAAAAATATTTTAAAGTGGTATTTTTTTATCTCAGCAAAACTTTTCTTCGTCTTCAGGTGATGTTTAACATTTGTGTGGATAGGAAAAGGAGGCTCTGAAAGGAGTTTAATTGTGCTGTATCACCACTGTAGCAGTCCAATCTGATGTTGAGTGACAGCCAAACATCTGACTGTCCCCAAACTTCATGGTATCCATTCAGACTTCACTGTACCAGCACAGGGCCACAAAAGTCATCTGTAAGCCGCCTTGTCAGATATACACTGGGTTTCGACCCAAAGAGCTAAGAAGCAGTACGAATCTACTTTTTTTTTTTCTTTTGGAGAGATTTTCACTATAGGGCGCGTGCGCTCACCAGACAGACAGAGAGAGACATAGAGACAGAAAGCGAGAAATCACCCCCCAGGGGGGATGGTCACACCGCAATCCCTTTTCCTCCATTCTCCTCTTGGGATCTTGGGCACGCACGCACACGCGCCCGGCATGAGTTTTAAGCCACCAGGTCCAGGACATGAACCGCGGTCGACTACATGGGAGTCCAGTGACATAGCCATTACGCTAACTGCTGGTTTCCAACAGTACGAATCTACTAACAGTGAAGTCCTCCACCTCTGCTCCAGAAAGCAGCAAAAGGCATCTTGTGACTTCCGATACCCTCGTGTGTGAAGTTATACCAGTTCCCAGCTTTTCTGGGCTTCCTTTTCCTCATCTGAAAAATAAAGGCTGTATAACTCAGGTGATCCAGGTTTACACTGAGAGGAGAGAAGGTGGTAGGATTAAGGAGAAGTGTTTCAGGGTTCACCTATACTTTATTTTTAGTTTTTGCTGTAGCATGTGTACAGAGAGAGACAGAGAGAGACAGAGAAAGTGAGAAATCTCCCCCCAGGGGGATGGCCATTTCACAATCCCTTCTCCTCCACTCTCCGCTCAGGATTTTGGGCATGCACACACACACACATATCCAGCATGATTCCCAAGCTGCTGGATGTGAAACTTGAACTATGGAATCAACCATGTAGGATTCAGCGCCTTAAACTCCATGCCACCTGCTGGCCCCCTGTACTTTATTTCTTAAGTTGAAAGGTAGTTTTGTATTTTTTGTTATACTCTTTAGACTTGTTTGCTATGGTATTCTTAATATATCCTATATGCAAGAAACAATTCATGGAATTTTATTAAGAATGTGCTGTGAGTGAACATGCAAGTTCCTTCATCCCTCAAAGGTATCCTACCACTACCTCAATGCCACTACAGAATTCTTCCCTCCTTGCTCTGTGACCATGTGTTAGCACCACATTTTTGAGGAAAATGAGAGATGTGAAATCCTCTCCTCAGCACTAATTACAGAGCACAGCTCCGCCTCCTGGGCCTCAGTAGGAGGGACAGCCCCCTCAACGTATCCGAACATCACACATGAATTGTGACGCCCACAGCTGGGCCAAGTCAGCCTGTCCCCTCGCTCCGATTTTTTACCACTTAACAATCTTGAAACTTGGTTCAGGCACTTATGAAACCCACAACATTTGGATTCAGCCTTCAAAGATAAGATTATCAAGGAGCCAGCAGTTAGCGTAATGGCTATGTCGCTGGACTCCCACGTAGTCGACCGCGGTTCATGTCCCGGACCCAGTGGCTTAAAACTCACGCCGGGCGCGTGTGCGTGCGTGTCCAAGATCCCGAGAGGAGAATGGAGGAGAAGGGATTGCGGCGTGACCATCCCCCCTGGGGGGTGATTTCTCGCTTTCTGTCTCTATGTCTCTCTCTGTCTGTCTGGCGAGTGCACGCGCCCTACAGTGAAAATCTCTAAAAAAAAAAAAATAATAAGATTATCAATGCTAAAAACTTAAAATTCCTTACAAATAAGGTGTGCGTTGGAGACAGTAAACAACAGTGACCAGCTGAACGTTAACCTGCCCCGTGTTCCCAGCCTTGTAACAAGGTCTTAGAAAAGCTGGGTGGCCTTGTGAAGGGTGCTTATAAGAGGATGGGAAGTACCTTTGATTACTTCACCCCATCCTGTCCCAGTCAGATGGTCTGCGCTCCTCACAGACACTCAGGTAAAGACATTGAATCAAAAGGGAAAACTGGTTCTGCTGTGCTTTCATTTTCTTTGTCAGATCTTTCTCTATTATTTACTTCTAGTTTGTTCTTCAAAGAAGAAACCAGTGTTCCTGAAATAATCTTTTTTAAAGTATATGTCACACACCAGAAGACCAGTTTATCTTTATGAATCCAAATATCCCTGGTACACTGCCACAGTCCTCAGGGTATCTGGACACCTTTAGGCTTCTGCTAGGGTTTAAATGTGTCCCCCAGAAACTCATGTATTAAAATCCAGTGAGCCATTGTAAGGGTGTTGAAAGAAGAGAAACTTAATCCAATGGTGTATTGAACGAGGACCTTGGGAGATGACTGGGATTCAATGAGGTCATCAAGTGGGTCCCCACGACTGCTTCCTGGAGCTTTAGAAGAGCAGACCCAAGAACATATATACCCCTTCCTCCTGGCTCTCCCCCTGTGTGATGCCCTGGCTTGCCTTGGGATTCTGCAGAGGAGTCCCCACCAAAAAAGAAAACTTTCACCAGATGTGGCTCCTTGACCTCTAAAACCATGAGCTAAATATACCTGCAGCCTTTATAATTACCCAATCTTTGGTGTTCAGTTATTAAGCTTCCAACTTTATATGTCAGAGATTTACAGCAGATTCCAGGAGATATTATTAATCGTCTTAGGGCCAAAATACGATAGAGAAATAGAATCCTATGATGAGAAAGGAAGTCAAACATAATTTAGCTCAATCTCCCAAACAAGAAAGAATCCCCTCTTGAGCATCGCCAACAGATGGCCACGAAGGCACCGCGTTAATACTCTCAGTTATCGGACACTCTACTTCACAAGACAGACCGTTTCCATTCTTAACAGAAGCAATGAATCAAACATAATCATCCCATTAAACAAGCATCCACATTTTTGTATTTTCTACCCCATCACAGATGGCAAAAAGCAAAGTGTGTATGTCCAAGGAGAGCTCCCTCCAGATGTCAGTTAACCATTAATGAGCACTTTAGGTTAGGTTTTTCAGGTATCTACAAACCCCCCTCATAATAATAGCTAACTAACTTTTCTCTGTGTTGCCCTCAAGAAATTTACAAGAGACTTTGTCAAAAAACCTGCTGAAATCCAGGCACACTACTTCATTGGCATTCCCTCATCGCTCTCTCTTAACAGCCTCAATTTTTAAAAAATAACCATTTAAGAAAAGAGTGATGTCACATATGGGGGAAAAAACCTGTTTATTATTTTGTGGGTGGTAGTCAGAATTGAAAGAAATGGGTAAGACCAAAGGCAGAGAATTCTGTTTAAGCCTTTAGCTCAAAAATAAAGACCTTTTATCTCACCATCATTTTTCATCTGGAGCCAGTCCAAGTTTTGCTGACAGATTTATGATCTACATATCCAGATCAGAGCTGCCGAATTACCTTTTAAAAAGTGAATATAGAAAAGAGAGTGGCTTGAAATTACACTGACCATTTCCTTCCTTAACATTCTGTGATGCCAGGGGCCAGCAGATGTCATGGTGGTGAAGGCACTGGACTTCCACACGGCTAACCACGGTTAGAGTCCTGAACCTGGGGCTTGCTTTCTCACTTTCCCCTCTCTTTCTCTCTATCACTCTCTGGTATGCACACATGTCCTATGCAAATTAAAACCAATAATAATACATTCAATTAAATAAAAAAATTTTTTTAGAGATTTTTCCTATAGGATGCATGCACTTGCTAGAGAGACACAGAGACAGAAAGTGAGAAATTACCCTCCAAAGGGATGGCCATGCCACAGTCCCTTCTCCTCTATTCTCTTCTTGGGATCTTAGACATGTACAGTATGTACCTAGCATGAGGTTTAAGCCACTGGATCCGGGACTCAAACCACAGTCAGCTATGCTGGTCGGAGTCCAACGACATAACCATTATGCAATCTGCTGGTCCCAAATAAATAATTCTTCTTTGAAAGTTCTATAATTTCAAGGAAAACCAGCAAGTTTATTTACTACCTGAACTACCAACATACACTTAAGTATATAGTAAATTTAGGCACTGCCAAAAAGGAATTACATTTCCTTTTTTATTATTGACATGCTTTATAAGAACTATGTAAATGTGGAGCCGGAAGGTGACGTGGTGGTTAAATACACTGGATTCCCACATGACTGACTGCAGTTCAAGTCTTGGAGCTGGCAGCTTGCTTTCTCTCTCTCTGTCTCTCTGTCTTTCTCTGGTCAAATTAAAACAAATAATAATAATAAATAAAGTTAAATAATTCTTTAAAAAATATGTAAATTGGGGAACAAGCAGTTAGCGTAATGGCTATGTCACTGGATTCCCACGTAGTCAACCGCAGTTCGCATACTGGACCCGGTGGCTTAGAACTCACACCAGGCACGTGTGCGTGCGTGCCCAAGATCCCGAGAGGAGAATGGAGGAGAAGGGATTGCGGCATGACCATCCCCCCTGGGGGATGATTTCTCGCTTTCTGTCTCTATGTCTCTCTCTGTCTGTCTAGCGAGCGCACGCACGCTATAGCGAAAACCTCTCAAAAAAATATGTAAATTATACAAAATTAGGATGAGTTTTTCACTCTGATATCTTTTCTCAACAGCAGAAATGCTACTATATTGGAATGTAATCAATATTCTCTCTAGGATCCTCTTAAAGCAGGCTAAAGAAGTGGTTCTTTCTTCTAATACTCAAGATTAGAAATTCCTAGAGGACAGAGATGACATCTAACACCTCTCTCATTCCATCTGACAATGTTTGAACTCCAGGTAAAATGAGATGCTGCCTTGTTCTTCTAAAGAGGGCTTCGGCTTTTAGAAAGACATCTCCTGAATGAGGTGGAAGAACGTGTTGGGCAGTGGGGAAAGCAGCAGGAGGGAACCAAGCACCTGGCTCTCAGGCCTGGGTCTGCCACTAGGCAACCACAGCCACAAGTTGGTCACTGGCCAAATCCTGGCTTCTTCTCTGTAAAGTGACAGAATTAGGTGCGTTGCTCTTTAAAATTCTTTGAAGTCATTTTTTCTCTAAGTATTGTCTAAAAACCACTCATATCAGAATTGCCAATGAGTCAAATACCTGTAATTTTTTTTTTTGAAAGATTTTTGCTATGGGGCATGTGCACTCACCAGAAAGACAGAGAGAGACAGAGAGACAGAAAGCGAGAAATCACCCCCCAGGAGGGATGGTCACGCCACAATCCCTTCTCCTCCATTCCTCTCTTGGGATCTTGGGCACACATGTACACGTGACCAGGGTGAGTTTAAGCTACCATTTCTGGAACTGGAACCACAGTCAGCTACATGCGAGTTCAGCGACATAGCCATTATGCTGACTACTGGTCCCAAATACCTGTATTTTAATATACGCCTGAGATGTTTCCTTCTTTAAAAGAATTATTTTTATTTTATTTATTTATTATTATTATTATTATTAAATTTGACCAGAGAGAGAAAGAGATAAAGGGAAAGTGAGGAAGCAAGCTGCCAGATCCAGGACTTGAACTATGGTCACTCATGTGCGAGTCCAGAGCCCTAACCACCACACCACCTGCTAACTCCCTCCTGAAATGTTTCTTATACGTAACTTTGAAAATCACTGCCTCAAGTGCTGAGGTGCTATGATTCTGTGTGTTCATTCAGCAATCTGTTGTACTCCCAGTTCTACACTAGGTGTGATGGGGATACAGAGTAATGTGAAAATTCGATCATCAAGGAACTTGAAATGTCCTTAAAGAAAAAGACAAACATTCTTGAAAAGATAAAAAGCAATATAAAAAAATTCTATAATAGGATTAAATCAATTGTTGGAAATCATCGGCACTGGAAGAGTACAGAGGAGCATCTTTGACCAGGGCAGAAATATCAGAGTCTGTGTGGGGGCAGGAGAGAGGAGACTGAGCGAGTCAGGTGGACAAACAGGATTTCCACAGATGGAACATGAGCGGGAACCACAGCCCCAACACAGGAATGAGCATGGCCCACCAGGGCTGGGCAGGAACGGAGCTACAGCCAATACAATGGATTTGTGTTATGAAGTAGGGGGAGTCTTTCTGGGTAGTAAGGAACTGAAAAGCCAGTACACCTCCAACACAACCTGTCTGAAAATAGGGTGTTCTCCCCACCCAATAAATGAGCCCTCTTTCTCCCAGGCCAGAAACATGTGAGTCGCCTGTGTCTCCCTCACTACTTTCTCCCTCACTCCGACATCCATTTTCTATAGCCAACTCCAGTCAGCTTCACCTTCTTAGTATTTTCTCTGTCCCGGTCTTGTCTTACCCCTTCACTGCCTCCTCACAGCCCTCCCTGCTCCCACACCTGACCCTTCACAGCCATCCATCACAAAGCTGCCCACACGGTAGACGTAAGACACAATTCAAACCATCTTCCTCGTCTCCTTAAAACCTTTCAGGTCTACAACTTTTCTTTTTCCCCTTCCAAAGGGTGCCCTTAAACTCCAGCAAGCACAATTTCACCTCCACTGACCTAAAACTCAAGTTCCTTGACAAGTCTAGGGGTCTTCCATAACCCAGTGCCTGTGGCTCCTTCACCCCACCCAGCATTTCCTCACAGCCTTTGCTCAGGCTTCTCCCTCAGTCATGCATTGCTTCTCCGCTCTGCCCCAGTGCCTCCAATACACACCCTCACATGCATGTGCACCTGCGTGTACACACACGTGGCCTAGCAACTCCTATTCATCTTTAAAGGTAGAACGAGACACTGACTCCCTCAAGGAAGCCTTTCCTGATGGAAGACAAAAACTGAGCAGAGAGCAAGCGTATGGGAAAGGCATCTTCCTGGGCATTTCTTGGAGCATGGAAGATAGTTTGATTTGAGAATAGGGCAAGGGTACAAAAGGGAGGAAAAGGAACCACGATTGGGAAGGGAGGTTAATGCTAGTCAAGAGCAGGTGATTCACTGGGAAATTCAGCTTTTACTTTGCAGGCAGTAAGCTCCCATTGAGGTTTCATGCATGAAGGAAAAGGGATGGTATCTCAGTCCTGATCTGAGTATCTGAGTCTGGCAGTTCTATAGGGTGGAAAGGATCTCCTATGTGGAAAATGCCAAGCATGGACCTGACATGCAAAATAATCAATAAAAGGCACTTTCCACCATGAGAGAGAAACTTTCCTCCATGTGATCATTAACGGCCCAGAACGTGAGAGAAGAGCTGGAATCAGAGCACAGACTTCAGGGGCAGAGGGTACACTTCCTCCATTGAGATACACAGGAAAGAAGAGAGAAGAGATGAGACTGCAAAGAAACATTGACTGAAAAATATGAATAGTCAGGAAGGTTATATTAGGTACTCACTATACACAGTAAGTCAGATAGCCAACTGTCTGCTAAGAGTAAGAAATTCTGAGATGGTGCTAGGGATGCCCAAAGGAATGAAAGCTCCTCATTTCTCAACTCCTATTCAATAGTACAACACCCAAAAATGACCTCAGGTATGGAGCCCAGCATAATGGTGAGAGTTGAAACAAAAAAAAGAGAGAGAGAGAGAGGATGAGAGAAAGAAAGAGCCATCACTGAGAAAAAAGGAAATAAGGCCCAAGGAACAGCCTTGGACAAGACCCACTGTTGACCAGTGTCTAGCGGAAGGAGCAGGAAGAGAAGTGGTCAAAAGCATGAGAGGAGAATGAGGATAAAATCATGTTATTGAGGCCTAGTTGGGTGGCACAGTTGGTAGCAAACAATCTGCAGTGCTGGAAGCCACATGGCCCACCATGGGTTCAGATCCCCAGATTGGTTTGAAATACTCCCTGGATATGCATGCATACCCAACATTTCAAGGAGCTGGCGAGCTAGGACTGCAACATAGTGCAACCTTGTCAAGGTTGCTTCTCTTTCTTTCTCTCTCTCTCTCTCATACACTTTCTGTCTTTTTCTGACACATGTACATGTGCTCTCTATCATGAAAAAAATAAATTTTTACAAAACTATATTGTAGACCCTAATGTGAGAGTGTTACTAAATCGGCTGTCTTTTCTACACCTGCTATCAATTTTAATGACTTGATGGACATGATATTCAGATATAACAACACGGCAGGAAATAACCAATTCCTTGAAATCTTTCACATTAATATTTGTGATTAATAACTAATAACCTGAGTTGAAAATGTGGGCAATGCAAATAAAGCAAAATGCTGATTAGGATAATCTCCCTTTTTATCCTCAATAAATTCTCCCCCAAATAATTCTTTCTTTCAAGTCTCCTTTTAAGAAAGCTAAAATAAGATTCAGAGTAAGCATGTAATGGTTTTGTTTTTTCTTTTTCCAGGTTACTTATATATTATACCTAATGATTTTTAAGCAACACAGTTTGAATGAAAGTCATCCATCATTCATTATTTTTTTCCTCTTGTGGCAAAGATTCTCATCGAATTATATATACTCTTAGTCGACCGAAAACTAAGTCTGAAGGCTGGACAAATACATTTCCCTCTGGCGATGGCGATGGGTACTGTTCCCACAGTACCCAGGGTCCTTGTGGCAAAGCCGGGCCACGCTGCCCACTCACCTGCATGAGTTCGTGGCTTTGCAGAAGATCATTCTCTAGCATCTCCTGGGTGAGGCGCCCCATAGTACTGTAGAATTCATCTGCGGTTTCACAACACTCTATCTGCCTAGATGAAGAAATCACAAAGACCCTGTGTCAGGCATCCAGGCTGTACAGTAGGAACATATTACGGGGACAAGAAGATGTGTTGCCTCTTGCCATCAGATCAGTCATGTTAGCAATCGATCACAGTCAAAATCCTGGGACAGGCTGGCAGTACAGCCTGCTGTGCATGTGGAAAAGTTTACACATGTACACACTCAAATGCCACCTGGAGGTACATGCACAGAATGAATTCCTACGTGTCTTGTCTACATGTCTCTCCCTACTCCCCGCCCCACCGGTGGCACGTTATATATTCCACGGGACACATTCTGCACGTCGGAATACCCACCACTGATCGGAAGTCATAACCACAAAACTAGGTGCCGGGGAACATTTCTCCCCTGTAGGGCATCAGTCGGTCCTAATCTGCCAACAGTGATATCATTGTTAGACCGAAACCAAACCACAGCAGGAGCAAAAGATGGAACACACAAGAACTTTATCTGCACATTGCATCAGTCCTCGGGATGTTTTCCCAGCAGAACTTTCTGAGTTCTTCTCAGGGCACTGCTGCTGCTGGAGAGTTTACCGTCCTCACTTTCTGTCGTACACATAAGCAAGGGCTCCCGTTGCCTGGCAATCTGGGAGACAGCTTAGACTTTCATCCTGTTTCTACAGAGGGTTACAGGAACCGTTGAAAGCAAAGAACACCAGGTATTTTTCTCTTATCTACCAAGTGTTCTTTGTATAGGAGGGCCACTCTATTTGCCCACCAGCCGTGAGACATCCGCCTTTGACGTTCACTATGGCTAAGAGATTACCATAGAGACATCTGATAAAAATATGGTGCTGGAAAAATTTCAGACTCTGGGGTGTTGTTCAAATCCCATTGCCATAGTTAGGGAAATAAATAAGTGGAATGAACTGTTGTTGAAGTGTTACTGCGAAAATAGAGTAGCATGTGGGCATAAATGAAAAAGGGATTTCGTTTACCCTGGGGGTGTGAGGAGGAGAAATAATGCTTGAGATGTGTTTTGAAAATTGTTCTCCAGGCTGGCACAGGAGAAAATGTATTCTAAAGACCCAGATGCCAGAGACAGCAGGCCCTGTCTGGGAAACGGCAAGTCTTTCTGCAGGACCAGGTGGAACTGGTCAGAGCAGTGGGCAGGGAGCTGCAGTGCACAGGTCACAAAGACCTCACCTGCCAGCTGAGCCCCTCAGGACACAAGTCACCAAAAGGCTTTCAGTAGGGAGTAAGGGAACAGCTGTGCCCTTGGCCAGGTTGGCCTGGAGGTGTCAAGGCAAATGTGAGGCACAGGGGTAGACCAGGAGGACACAGCACTGGGGCCAGGCATGAGGTATGAGAGAGAGAGCCCAGGCAGGACGGTCAGCAAAGAGCACGAAAGAAGTGCCAGTGACAGTGAGCTGGCGGTCTATAGTTTATGTATCCCAAACGTACCTTTCAGAGGAGTGAAAGGACGAAATTCTAAGTTGCAGAAACGAGGTGAAAGGGGAGATCCCACACGTAACCACATGCAAGGCACACAGGAGAGGACTTCAGAAAGCTCAGGAAAAATGGAACTAAAGTACAAGTTTCTTTGGGACCAGCAGGTCACATGGTAGTTAAGCACTGGACACTCCCACGTGGCTGACCACGGTTCAAGTCCTGGACCTGGTGGCTTGCTTTCACACTTTCTCTCCCTTTCTCTCTGTTTCTCTCTGGTCAAATTAAAATAAATGAATGGATAAATAAAAATGTTTTTAAAAAGTACAGGTTTCTTTGGGAGTAACATTTTTTTTGAAATTTATATATAGTTTTTTTTTTCCTAATACACACTCCCATGAACTTTTTCAAGTTCCTTGTATGTTACTCAGGGCTACATAAAATAAACATTACCTGTATGCTGATTATGGTTTTTCTAATGGAAAACCACACAGATGTTACAGTCAGAAAGACCTAGGTTTAAGTCTCTATTCTGCTACCCGTTCGCTGTGTGACCATGAACTAGTTAATTAACCTTCCTGGGGTCATTTTCTCACTTAAAAAGGCAGGAGGGATACACCTACTTACTTCACAGTGTCCTTTGCAGGGCTAGGGGGAGAGCTGAGTAAGACTGTTCCAGCTGCCTAATCTCAGGAGGCACTTGATGTATGCTGGCTGCCTTTCCTATCCCTTAGAGAGTTCAAAAGATGCAGAATTCTAAGGAGCCAAAACTCTGAACCATTTAAAATTCTACCAGTCTGAGTCATATGCCTCTTGAACTTCATAAATGTTCGTGACCAGTAAATTCACATGATTTAAATCACAGATTCTAGGGCCAGAATCCCCGGAACCAAAAATCAGACCCCTTTACTTACTCACCAAGTGATTTCTGGCCATAGGCTGAACTTGTGCCTCAGTTCTCCTGTATGTAACCTGGAGGTGATAACGGTGCACACCTCGTAGGAGCATAGCGAGAATAAATCAGTTCATGACCTTGAGGGCTAGAACAGCGCCTGCCGTCACAAGCGCTTGGTGAGTGTCGGTTTTCAGTCTGTTGCTTTGTTGGTTTTCAGGGCCAGCCATATTGTTCCGACACTGGGACATCTTTGTGATGACCACAGAAATACATTGGGCTTCTACGGACAGCTAGCAGATGGAAGCAAACCCAGAATCATCTCTTTGCTTCCTGTCCATTCAAAAATGAACAAAGGCGACTATAACTGACTCATCATATGTAAAGTGCTTGACTATTTTAATCCTATAAACTAGTTTCCGGTAAGTGGACAAGCACAACCAAAGAAACTATAAAAGTCCAAAAAGCTTACAAGGTGTTGTGTAGGTGGGAAACACATAGCCACAACTAGAATAGAGACTGAGAGAAAATGAAAAGAGAAGAAATAGCGCAGCAAACACCGTGCAAATGAATGCGTTTGCCTCACCGAACCCAACGGACAACAAAACAAAGGCAAAGGAGACGGCTGTGTGATGCTGAGCACTGCTTACACCCAGCAAGGGTTCTTTTTGCAATCTCTGAATTGGTAGTTGGTGGATCTTGCTTTAAAAAAAATATATATATACACACACACACACACACACACACATATATAT